GGCCAATGAAGAGTCTTACAGTTGTATATAATTGTTGAAGTTGTTATTTAACTGAATTTATTCCAAACTATAGAAATATGTTGTTTTGTAGCAGTAAAGACACCCAAAGTCAGATTGCAGTTGATAGGAGACCAGGGGGTATCTCCTGAATATAATCTGAATGAACATGGGAGGAAGCACAATTTCCTTGGGGTAGGACAGAAGAAATGGTTTCTTTTGTATACAAAAGGTAAGTATCTTGAATATTTTGGAGCACATATAATTTTTTTTTCTGCAAATATTGATTCAACAGTATAACTAACAGCAGCTAACTGCCATTTACTTTATTACATTCAATTCAGCATGTACAGTCTTAACTGGAACATCAGGTCCCAGTTTGCTGTTCATCTCAGTCAGTGGCTATATTATATTTGATTACTTAATACTATTACTTAAAGTATCATGTTAACTAAGTTATGTTGACTTTTTATCATAAAGTTAAGTGCAGAGCATGTTCAGAGAGAGTTAGTGCAAGAATTCTTGGTGATTTGTCAAACACCAAGGTTCTTATGGTATTGTTATGTATTAACTAAATTTATTTTCAGAATTAAACTACAACTCTGTTATATTTGATGCATGTTGTACTCTAAAACAACACACTAACATTTAATCATTATAGTGAATCTTTTTTATTTTAAACTCAGAGTCCCTGGGAAAACTGAAGAAGGTTGTGGTGTACATCAGTGATAGACCAGGAGCTCAATGGTAATTTTAAAAATACAAACTGGAACATCACAAACATATTTACACTATTGGACCTGTATAAAGAAAGTTCTGCAAATCAAATGAAGATGATTTTTGTCATTGTTCTGAAATATGCTTTGTGTCTTGAATACCTTGGATGCATCTGTAGTTTAAGTTATATTCATATTGTTATGTTATTTATAGTAGATATTTTTACATATTCAGATGGAGTTCAATGTCAATTTAACATACTCTTATGTATTTTTGAAAAAAAAATGTTAGCTAGCTTCTCAGTTTAGATGGATGGAAGCCCAGATTTATTTGAAATATTGATTGTTAAATGTGTTGTATAAAGAAATTTGAGTGAATTTTTATTATTATTTTTCTTTCATTGAAGGAATGTGCTGGACATAACAGTATATGATACAGTATCTGGCTGTGAATCCCACTTTAGCAGCAATGGATGCCTCACAGTGGGATACACCACTTTGGAGTCTTGTAAGAGCTCCAGGTAAGTTGGAGACTTTCTCACAATTGATAAATAAGCATTTGATGTACTTTGAAATGTCTGCTTTTACAAGTTATCAACAAATAAAATATGAAAGATAATAATAATAATGATACATATTCTGAATTCTTAATGCAGTATTCAGTTTTTCTTCAACATGGAATGTACTCATAGTAATTTTCATGTAAAATGTCCGTACTTTGATATTTGATATACATTTTTTAATTTATTAAAATATTTTTCAGGTTTGGACTGCAAACCTGCCTTCTGTATTTGTGGTCTTGTCATGGCTGGACACGCTGTTCCAGCTTGAAGCTGGCCCCTGTCCTTCTGTGGTTTAACAGCACCTTTAACTACATGTTTGCAAACATGCTGCTTACCAGTACCCTTCTCAGTGCTGTTGGTGTCATTCAGCTTGATAGAGGTATCTTCCTCTCCAGCCTCCTTGTCAATATAGGAACATTCCTTGTGAATGGCATATATGATGTAGCAATGTACAATATCAGGTGCTATGACAGAGAGGACACTGGTGACACTGTGCTGCAGAACCTGGAAGATGAGCCTCAGTATGATGACATGTAAGGAGACAGTTTATTTTGTGTTCATTTTAAGTTTCCTCATTTCACAGTTATTTTGGAATAAAGTTAAATTTGTCTTTAGCTTTGGGAGTTGACTACAGATCTTGCTCATAGCCATGACTGATTCTGACAACTTGTATTGGGCTGGACACTTGTTTCATTTTGTAGACTATTAATAGTATTATAATGATTTCACATTTTCTTGTTTATGTGACACATGTTCTGAGTGTGTAAATGGAGTTAGTAATTATAGTCAGAGCGTTATTCTACCAATAATACTAAATTTTTTTTTACTATATGTCTTGACTGAAGAAAGATTTTTTTTTTCAGTTGCACAATCAGTGATGGGTTCCAACAAGTTGTGCATGGAAGTGTGGAGACCATGATGAAACAGGTGGGTTATGACTTTGAGAAGGACTATGATTTGGCACGTGCAACTGTTGAACACCAGGCTATGGCACAGATTGAAGAAATCGTTGCCAAGGAAAATTTGGTTGTCAAGGAAGATATGGTTGCCATGGGAGATGTGGACAGCAAGAAAGAGGTATTTATTACTTTTTTTCTATTTTTAGTTTGTGCATGCATGTATGTGCCTGTACAGATATCATGGATTGCTTTTGAGACATACATGTATTGCCTTCTTGTAATTAAAAACAGACACTTGTATCATTCCTGTAATGTTTGACAATATATTTGGCTTGACTTATAAGCACATATACATATACTAAGAACATAAAAAGACATTATACTAATATTGAGGTATTATAGTGCAACATCAAACCACTGCCAGAATAAATGTCCCCATCTGTGGAATATTTTGACTATATTTACCTGTCAGCAGAAACAATTATTGGATGATTTTCAATATTTCAGAAAACGCCCAGCTACACATATGCTCCTCCTCCAAACAACCCTAGGCTAAACTCAAATATGCAAAAGGAGATGCAGGCAGAATTCCCAAAATCCCATGCTGGGAAGATTTCCAGCTACAGAAATGCAGATGTTGCATCTTTTTACAGTCTCATTGCTCACTTCAACCCAAGTTTTCTCGTCCCAGGTAATCATATATATATGATGAAACATCCTAAAATTTTGATTTACTGTTTCCTAATTAATGTTCAACAGTAGCAATATATGGCTCAAACAAATAACTTTTTATATTTCCCTTTACATATCCCTTGTTTAATGCAATTTTAGACAACAGCAAGAGGAAAGACAATGCACATGATGTAGCAGTAAATATTTGGGAAGGTAATTGTCCATTTTGGTATCATCAATGTCTGTCATTTCAGTAAATTATTTTAAAAAAGAATGAATATATAAAAAAAGGATAATGCATTTTCATGTTATCCAGCTTCAGCTTACATTTTGAAGATATTTAGAGCATTGATTTCAACATAAGCTTCCTTGCCCTCATTATCATTAAAACAGTGATTGTGATGTTAAACAGGGGTAATATTAGCCTGCATCATTTTTTAGTTAAACTTCCACATACTTTTGGCAATAATTCATTTCCACACAAAATGTTCCAGAACCATCAGATGAGGTGCCATACACTGAGCTGAAGTCACTGGAGATGATGGTCAACAGAAAACGTGGCGGAAACTTGCCCCACTTTTTGATCTATCCAGCATTCATTTTGCTGGGCGTCTCCATGGCTGTGGCAGTATATCTCAGCATTGTGTATGGCGGAGAGCTGAGTGACAGCGCTGTGTACAACTGGGCTGCTCTGGTAGGAGTGGCACTGGTGGAGGACTTGTTTGTGTTCCAGACACTGAAGGCAGTTTGTGTGTATGGTTACTGCCTACTTTTCTCAGCAAATGAGGCTAGAGAGGATGCTCACAGGCAGGAGAAGACACAGTTTGTTAAGTTTTAAAAAACTCAGTGCTCTGGTGCCAGTGGAACCTTTTACTAAGTGATGTAATTCCAGAAATAGTGCAAGAACTTTTATCAAACAGAGACTCATGGAAGCCTCATACCCCCATTGCAGAACTATGCCATGTTTATGATTAAAAAAAGATTTAAAATTATAAAAATATTTTGTATTGAAATTTCTTATGGATCAGAAGTGTTTTTATATAGACGAACATACTTACTGCCTTACTATTTAATACATTGCAACAGTGCAAAAAATGTGACCAGAATCTCCTTTTTTTTTATTAATATACACTGCCATTAATGATCTCATTCACTTTTAAATAGACATTTTTTAAAAATAACTTCAATGATCTGTGATAATAAAATATGCCTTGAGTATTTTCTGAATTTTCTTTTTCTTTTACTGACCCTCGTGCTCAAGTTTTAAATAGTAGAATACAAGTTTGTAAAAGAAGACAAAGTTTCATGGATAATCATGGCAAATAATGCTTGTTTAAGTTTGAGATATTTCGAATTTGAATAAAACCAATCTTTCATTTTAAAAAAGTCAAGCTATTGAAATCCTAGAAAAACCCAGTTGGTTAAACAATTTAATAAACAGACTGAAATATATTCTATACTTTATAACTTAAACATTCATTCAAAAAAAAAAAAAGTCCTATCCTAACACCTCTTCATCAGACTTTTTATTTCATACACTATAATCAAAATCTATTCCCATCTGTTGCCCTCTGTAAGGTATCTGCATTTTTTTATTACAACAATACAATTTCTAGTCTTTTACAGTACTTTATTGCATTTCAATTAGAAAAAATTATGTCATAAACATGTTTAGATCAGTGACCAAGATCACTGTTCACATTAACTGGAAATCAAAAGTCGTATCTTCATCAGACTTTAGTAACTATTATCTATGGCATTTTCCTTTCTCAACGGTAACTCATATATACATATTTTGAAAATGCATATATACTGACAGTCAATGAAAACGCATCAGAAAACTTTCTTGTACCTTTTGTACTCTTGTACTTTTACCGAGAATCGATTCCAACCATATAAACGAGTACAAGTGCACTTGTTTGGTCATAAGAGAGTGGGCTGACCACTTGGATGTTTAAATTTTCCGCTTCAGTGATTTTCAGATCACCTGATTTTGTGATCAGCTGTTACAAAATCATGTGTTTTTCCTGATTGGTGTGAATTAATCAGGTTCAATATATGGTGATCAATTATGCCTATTTAAGGTATATATATATAGTCACCAAATCCAGTATGACACATGACAAAAAAGTTCTGTGATGCCACGTCTGGCACTGGAAGAGCGACTGCGGGCCCTGGGCATGCTGGAGGCTGGGCAGGACCAAAGAGATTTGATCATGTGACCTTGCATTTTAATGATTTTTTTAAACGATCTTTTCTGACCTTTATTTCACCTTGTGTGACTGAATAATGGGTCATATTTCACACGAAAACTGTTATTTTCTTAATGTGCCAAAGGAACTTAAAATATTATTTGATAAATAAATGATGCGTTTTCATTGACTGTCAGTATATATTTTACATTTTCAATGGAGTAGGCCTAAGTACTGGTAAAGAAAATATAAAAGATCTGACATGAAGCCCCTTCAACTAGCTGTACTGGATGATTAAAATGAAACAAATACAAAAAAGAAAACTACAGTAATCTACAGTACAGGTGGATCCTGACCCCCTTTGATTTCCGAAAAAAAATCACAGTGACACCAATGGTCCTCTCTTGAAATTAGAATTTGGACTAGCTGAATCGTACTTCTAAACTATACCAAATGCAACTGTTCGCCATCTAAAATACCAAACATTTTACAAATCTTTTAAAAAATGTTCTCGGTGTGAAATTAATATGTATAGAAACTCTCGCAATACAAAAATGTGACAAATAGATGACAAAACACACTGTGGGGTATAGCTGACCACAAGGTTGTACCCGTGCTGTTCAGGGCACCATGATAATATTATTTAATCTCTGTTTACACTCAGAATCATGACCCTATTTTATTTTCCAGACGGTGGAAGACATTTTAGGACTGCGGTAGGTTGGCGCGTAATTGACATCTTGTATCAGCTATAATATGACTGTGTTGTACTTTTTGTTCTACTTGTTTTTTTTTTTTTTCTTTCTTTTCGTATTTCTTCTCGTTTTTTATATTTTTCTTTGATTTCACAATGTTTATTGCGTAGCCTTGTTTTCATTTCCAAGTATTACTTTTTTTCCTCCCTCTAAACTGACTGATATTACACCGATGTACTTTACTGTAGATTTCTCTTTCTTAGAATATTAGAGGCACTAACCCCCACCTTTCTTGTTCAATACCATTTGATTTGCTACCTATTTTTGTTTGCGTGTAGGTTGCTTAAACATGGATAAATATTTCGCGTTTCAGATATTGTCGTTTTAGGAAGAAATCTTGTCTCAATATCGGGTAATACATAAAAAAAGAGTACATATTAGGATATGTACTACAATGTTCCAAACAGGAAATTACCACC